TATATATATATATATATATATATTCTTTAACTAACTATATTGTATAGTACAACACTGGTTTCTCATTGTACCTATAGTCTAATGGAAGCTTGCGAAACCTGATGGAGTTTGTGTTCCCTTTATTGAAAATTGTTAGTTTGCATAGCAATCTTGTTGGCATGGCTAGTTAGCAGTCCATAAATTTTGTGGCTACAATATATTATCATATCCATTGAGTACCCCAAAAATAAATATATTAACATGAGTGTCACATGCAGGCTGTAAATTTTGGGCTGCACTGTGTGTATTCATTAGTGTGGCTCATTGGTATTAGTTAGATATAATGATATGTGAATGCTGATTGTATCATATTAAATACCATCAATGTCATGTGTTTTAGAATTATGCAAAAAACACAATGTTGCACGTGTTCATATTATCAACATTCTCAACTAGGATTTACTCACAATGAACACAAATTTGACAATTTCGTGTGCTCTGCTACAAAAAGATATGCAAATCCAAATCTAGAATATGCTTTACACTGGCACTCCACCACATTCAAGTATGCGTGTGCCCAATTAATTGGTCTCATAAACTTATTACCATACATGGTTTTAAAAATTGGATTGAACTGACCTATCCAATCGACTAAACTGTACACTGGTTCTCTAGTCAGTTTGGTTTAATCCCAAAATTATGCTCACACAGAGCCAATCAAAATCAATGAATTGGTCTAATTTTTGATGAATTGCTCAATTCTAATAATTATCATTTTAAGGATTTTAGCTTTTGATTATATGATTGGTCATAAACATTTTGATTAAAAACAGAGAAAATAATGAAAATATCATGCCCCAAAAATTTTGATGTAGAATCATTTTTAAAGTATTCAAGAGAAGTATTTTGATTTGGAATGTTTTATATTAAATTAATGATATATCGTTATTGTATCATTATTAGGTCATTTTAATTATTTTTATATTTGTTATGCCATCTAATTCAAACCTCAATTGAATCATTGAACACTGAACATCTTCTTGTAGTTTAATGTTTAGTTCCATTTTCTTATCCTTGTTACTCTATCCTAAAATATATATGGTACGAGTATTCAATGTATGAATTCATTCTCAATTTTACCTCTCACAACTAAAGCATCTTTTCTCTTTTTCTGTTAATTAGCATAAATTAACTCCTTCAGTTTGTAATCTCTCGAATTTACTAACTTGGGTGAGAGCCAAATCTGAATTCAGTCAAAGCTGAGTATCTGTAATCTTTTTTGAAATCAATTATATGAAAATGATTAAAAAAACATATATTTACCTTTTACTCCAATCTAATCATGCATATATTAGACATAATTAACAGAATAATTTCATTAAACTATATAACTATGAAGTAAAATTTGAAGTTGATTGTCATGTGGTTGGATGTGATGTTGACTTAGCTCGGAGGTGTTGATAATCATAGCCACCCCTACCATGGTAGTTTAATGCTTCATCTATAATAAAATGATGCCATGTGATAACGGGCAAAGTTGAATGACAGTAGTGCTTGGAGGAGATGAGAAGAAGGCAGCAATGGTGAATTGCAAATAGTGTGAAGAAAACCTTGCGACTGTCAGGGAAGGAGGAGAAAAAATTCAGGGGCACTCTCAGGAATAGAATGACAGGACTTTACTGCTTCGATTCTTGGTGATACTTGTAAACTCTCTTGCTAAAAAAATGAGTTAAAAGCTCAATCCCACTGGGGAAGAATTGTGTGGATCTCAACCCTGTTTGTGTTCAGTTAGCTAGAGTGGAGCCTTTTTTCTTAAAAGCGATATAATACATAGAAATGTGCTATTTTGAATTTTGGAAGTGTTCTTTTTTGTTATGGTGGGGGGACAAATTTCTTGTATTTTTTTTGAACTGCATATCATACAATCATCTTAAAAAATTGTGTTTTGCGTATGCTTTGCTCTTCAATATGATCGCTAGGCATTCCACCACAAGTGAACAATCAAGGACAAACACTGGCACAGATTCCTTTGGTTGATCAGTCTTTAGGAAGGCAGCAGCTTTTAGCTCAGAACCTGCAAAATAACACTCCTGCTCCGGTGCAAAGTTCTTCTAGTCTTTCAGCGTCTCCTTCTATTACAGGGCTTACTCAGTCAACCATAACGAATTTTGGTCATGCATCTAACATGCAAAACATGCCGGGGATATCACATAGTTCTGTAAATAATTCTCTATCACAGGGAACAACCACAGATATTTATGCCAACACACAGAGGCATGTTCAAGGAAGGCAGCAGCAACAATCACAAAATCCACTTCTCTACCAAAATCAGCTCCAACCTCAGTTGATAAAGCAGAAAATACACAATAATGCACTTCTGCAGCCATCCATGCAGCAGCAGCAGCAACAGCAATCTTTGTTGCAAGCAAATCAGCTACAACCTTCTCAGCAGTCTGTGATGCAAATGTCATCTAGTCTTGCATCTGGCCAGTCCTCTATGCAGCAGTCCCCGGCAACAACCATTCAATCTGCTTCTCAGTCTGCTCTTCAACAGAATCAGCTGAGCTCAATTCAACAATCTGTATCATCCCTACTGCCACAACATGTGCAAGCAATCGCTAGACAATCACAGCAACTGCAGTCTTCTCTTCACCAGCAAACAAACTTGCAAACCCAGCAGCAGCAGCAGCAACAACAACAACAACAGTTGATAGGCCAACAGGCTAACATGCAAAACATGTCGAACATTCAGACAAATCAATTGCTTAGTCAGCAAAACAATATTGTTGACATAAAGCAGCAGCAGCAGCAGCAAAGATTGCCTGTCCAGCAAAATAATCTTATCAGCATGCAGCAGTCTCAGCAGTTACTCAATCAGCATTCTTTGTCTTTGCATCAGCAGCAGTTAGGCCAGCAAACCAACATACAAGGTCTCCAGCAGCAGCAACAATCCCAATCTCAACAACAACATCAGCAGCAGCAACAGTTACTTGGTTCACTACAGAACATTTCAAATATGCAGTCACATCAGCATTCCATTCAGCTTCTTCAGCAGTCTAAAAATGTGCCACAGACACAGCAACAGTTGCAGCAGCCATCTATGTCATTGTTGCAGTCACAAGGTCAACAGTCGCATCATCTGTCGTCACAGCAGCAGCTGATGTCACAATTTCAGTCTCAACCAGGGCAGTTGCAACAGCCATTGGCCATGCAACAGCAATCAAATTCCATGCAAAGGGAGATGCAGCAAAGGCTTCAAGCGTCAGGTGCCTTGCTTCAGTCAATGGAGCAGCAGAAGCAATTCATGCAGTCACAAAGAGGGAATCCTGAAGTTTCATCAAGCAGTAAGTCATTTTGTGTGATGCATTGTTATAAGAATTCGACAAGTCAAGCCCTGTTGTTCATGCGGCTTTTGCTTTAGTCGAATTAACTTTTTAGGAATCCATCACATATTACAATTTTTCCTAAAGAGTATGCTTATTCACAAATATTGAATAGTTTTCAGTTCAATATGCATGTTCGAGAAAGTTATTTTGTTGTCCTGTATGAGAAAGTTTGACAAATTTGCTTGATTCACAAAACGGTGAAAATTCGCTATGAATTGATATTTTACAGACAATTTTAAGTTCCATACCAAAATTCATAAATTGAATTATAGTTCAATATTACTTATACTAAAAAATTCTGTAGAAAGAACATCCAATCTTTTAACTTCATTGTGATGATGAGTAAGATTTGCTTAAGATAACATCTTCTAGTGACACCATAACTCATGTGGCATGTGATGAGAGGCGGTTGGGGGCCGTGCTGTTTAGGATGTCACTTATAAGTGATGCGTCAAAACTTAGCTTAATTATAAAGAAAATTAAGCAAGATTTAACCAAGTCTAAAGTCGAGATTAGAATTCTATGTAAAACTTTGTGAATTTAAATATAGAGAATTGTTCACAATTAGAAAGGTTAAGTCCTCATTTGAGAGCTTTCATGCCGCTTATTCATTTGGAAAATTGTTTGGTTATGTTCTTTTTAAAAAACGCTTTTAGAAAAACTTTATTTTTTTTACTATTTCGGAATGTTATTCATTTGGTAAATTTTTTTTATATTTCAAACTTTAAAGCATTGCTTTTGTAGAACAGTTAATTAACATACTTTTATAAAAGGAAAAACACAACCAATTGAAGCCTAAATGATGCATGATTGAAACATAAATAAAAAGAACATTATATGTTAGGAAAATTAAGAAATTAATGGAGTAGTGATAGTTGTGAATAGGTAGTTTAGATATAAAATTGTTTTGGTAAATTATTGGCGAGAATGCTAAGAATAAGTTTTGTGTTTATGCTCTTTAAGCTTAGTTTATAATATCATTTGAAGAATTAGTTTCAAGAAGAAATGAATTAATTACTACAATAGCACAGCTGCACATGGGAAGATAGATTAAGTATTTTTGGTGACCTACATGAACATGTGGATTTTAAGTAGGATGAATTTTTGAGAGAATTTTATAGTGGGTATATATTAGGGTGCAAAAATGTTTGAGAGCATGATTTAATTTAATAGTAATGTTAATCTTATGCGAAGAAAATTCTACTTGGAAATGAGAAAAAAACTAATTTACTTAGAAAATAAAGTTCTCAAGTCCTAGCAGAAAGAGGGTGGCGGGGGTGGGGGGGCATAAAATGCTTGTAAATTGCAATGTGATTCCAAGAAGAGATTTGACAATCTAATATAGATTATGATTATAAGTTTAGATTTTAGCAGTTAGAAGTATAAAGTAATAAAACACAACTAAAAAATAAACAAAAAAAAAAAGTTTTAAAACAAAATTTCCAAGCTAAATCTTTTAAAAAAAAAGCTAAAAGGTGAGAAGCTATTTGTTTTTAATTAGATGTTAAAAATTGAACTACCGTATACATTGATATCTAAAATAATCAGTTATAATAAGAAACTTACATATTTTATAAAAAAAAGTTTTAGAAATTGAATTTATATAAGGAGGCTTCGTGGTGCGTGAAGTTTTTAGTGTATAGAAATATCCTTATAAAGAAGATAACATTATTTTCATAATAGCGGCATGATTTTTACCATGTGTTATAAGTTTAGATCTTAGCAGTTAGAAGTATAAAGTAATAAAACACAACTAAAAAAATAAACAAAAAAAAGGTTTTTAAACAAAATTTCCAAGCTAAATCTTTAAAAAACAAAGCTAAAAGGTGGGAAGCTATTTGTTTTTAATTAGATGTTAAAAATTGAACTGCCGTGTACATTGATATCTAAAATGATCAATGTAAATGCTTGTAAATTGCAATGTGATTCCAAGAAGAGATTTGAGAATCCAATATAGATTATGATTATAAGTTTAGATTTTAGCAGTTAGAAGTATAAAGTAATAAAACACAACTAAAAAATAAACAAAAAAAAAAAGTTTTAAAACAAAATTTCCAAGCTAAATCTTTTAAAAAAAAAGCTAAAAGGTGAGAAGCTATTTGTTTTTAATTAGATGTTAAAAATTGAACTACCGTATACATTGATATCTAAAATAATCAGTTATAATAAGAAACTTACATATTTTATAAAAAAAGTTTTAGAAATTGAATTTATATAAGGAGGCTTCGTGGTGCGTGAAGTTTTTAGTGTATAGAAATATCCTTATAAAGAAGATAACATTATTTTCATAATAGCGGCATGATTTTTACCATGTGTTATAAGTTTAGATCTTAGCAGTTAGAAGTATAAAGTAATAAAACACAACTAAAAAAATAAACAAAAAAAAGGTTTTTAAACAAAATTTCCAAGCTAAATCTTTAAAAAACAAAGCTAAAAGGTGGGAAGCTATTTGTTTTTAATTAGATGTTAAAAATTGAACTGCCGTGTACATTGATATCTAAAATGATCAATGTAAATGCTTGTAAATTGCAATGTGATTCCAAGAAGAGATTTGAGAATCCAATATAGATTATGATTATAAGTTTAGATTTTAGCAGTTAGAAGTATAAAGTAATAAAACACAACTAAAAAATAAACAAAAAAAAAAAGTTTTAAAACAAAATTTCCAAGCTAAATCTTTTAAAAAAAAAGCTAAAAGGTGAGAAGCTATTTGTTTTTAATTAGATGTTAAAAATTGAACTACCGTATACATTGATATCTAAAAGAATCAGTTATAATAAGAAACTTACATATTTTATAAAAAAGTTTTAGAAATTGAATTTGTATAAGGAGGCTTCGTGGTGCGTGAAGTTTTTAGTGTATAGAAATATCCTTATAAAGAAGATAACATTATTTTCATAATAGCGGCATGATTTTTACCATGTGTTATAAGTTTAGATCTTAGCAGTTAGAAGTATAAAGTAATAAAACACAACTAAAAAAATAAACAAAAAAAAGGTTTTTAAACAAAATTTCCAAGCTAAATCTTTAAAAAACAAAGCTAAAAGGTGGGAAGCTATTTGTTTTTAATTAGATGTTAAAAATTGAACTGCCATGTACATTGATATCTAAAATGATCAGTTATAATAAGAAGCTTACATATTTTATAAAAAAAAAATTAGGAATTGAATTTCTATATGGATGCTTCGTGGTACGTGAAGTTTTTAGTGTATAGAAATGTTCTTATAAAGAAGATAACATTATTTTCATAATAGCGGCATGATCTTTTACCATGTGTTAGTCCATCATATTTGATAGTTGAGAGAATGAATCTCACTGACCTACAGAAAGTGCTGTTTTAATTGGCTAAAAGAGATGCGAGCCTATTTTCATCCTTTAGCAATTTTTGATATGGTATTCAAGACGCATGTCATTTCTCAGTAAGCTTTAGAAAGATATATTATGGTTGGCTTAGAAGTGGGCAACAATGTGTCAAATATGATATTGACAATATGTTTGGTGGGGGAAAGTTTTGAGAAGATTAGTTAGGGGGACTTCAAATGTATCAATGAGAGAACTCATCCTATTGTCGGGAACCACTCGTTGAGGAAAATGTAGAGTTTGGATGCAGGGTGTAAATTAGTCAAGTCACTCGAGTCACACTGAACTCTAGTTTTACTTGGTGGTCCGAAAGAGGCTTGAGCTCGTGCTCCATGTGAAACTTGAACTTGACTGTCAATATATTGTAAAGCTTGAGCTTGATTTGTGAGCTCGAGTTTGTTGGAGATGTGTTGAGGTGAATTTAAGACGGGAGCTCCAGTGATATCTACCATATTTGTTAGAGAAGAAAAGAAAGTTACTAAAATAGTGACAATTTAAAGAAGAGATCATCACGACAAAATCTTAGTTTGAAAGAGAAAAATTGGAAACCACAACAAAAGTGGCGAAGTTTGAAGAACAATATGAAGAGGTTGCAATAGGAGCTTGATGGAGAAAGTGAGAAGATGAAGCCACGACAAGATTGGTGGGCATAAGAAGTAGAGAAGTCACAACGGGAGTAAAATGAATGGAATGCCCTAATATCCTAAATCATGGGAGCTACTTAATCTAACATAAAATAAGGGGAAAATTAGATTTAGTTCGATTTTGCTTTGCCAATGAGCCTAACTAGGCTAATATTATACAAGTTCTAATTTGAACTTAATCGTGAGCTCGTCATCTGATAATTTTTACTCACGAGCCTGTTGATGGGTCGAGTTCGAGCTGACACAATTCACACCACTAGATTGATTTGGGAGATGTGTTGAGGTGAATTTAAGACGGGAGCTCCATGTGATATCTACCATATTTGCTAGAGAAGAAAAGAAAGTTACTAAAATAGTGACAAAATTTAAAGAAGAGATCGACGACAAAATCTTAGTTTGAAAGAGAAAAATTGGAAGCCACGACAAAAGTGGCGGTTTGAAGAACAATATGAAGAGGTTGCAATAGGAGCTTGATAGAGAAAGTGAGAAGATGAAGTCACGACAAGATTGGTGGGCATAAGAAGTAGAGAAGTCACAACGGGAGTAAAATGAATGGAATGCCCTAATATCCTAAATCATGGGAGCTACTTAATCTAACATAAAATAAGGGGAAAATTAGATTTAGTTCGATTTTGCTTTGCCAATGAGCCTAACTAGGCTAATATTATACAAGTTCTAATTTGAACTTATTCGTGAGCTCGTCATCTGATAATTTTTACTCACGAACCTGTTGATGGGTCGAGTTCGAGCTGTCACAACTCACACCACTAGATTGATTTGGAAAAAGCAGCTAGAGGAACATCAAAGTTGTTGATGGAAGTTAACTGGTACTCAAAGCTATGACATTGGTTAAATCCCCACACACTAGCAAGGAGATCCACAATCTTGTAAAGAATTGTGCTAGTTGGAAAGCATTCTTGACGATGGTCTAGCTAGTACGTATGGTTTCGTTATGCTTTTAGCAGAGAAATTGCGATTGGAGGGCACATCTTGACTTTTAGATATGCGCTAATCAACAACTCCAATTATTA